TTTTCCTTTAAAAAAACTTCCCAAATGTTCATTGAAATACTCAGTTCCATTATCGGAGCGTAGTATACTAATTTTTTACTGAAAATGGTTTTCGACCATTTTGTAAAAATCTTTAAACAGTTTTTCAACTTTAGATTTCACATTCATCAAATAAACCCAGCATAATCGAGTGTAATCATCTATAAAAGTTACAAACCATTTTTTTTCAGACCCCATGGTAACCTTAGAGGGTCCCCACACATCACTTTGAATCAAGTAGAAAGGTTTTGAAGCACGATATGGTTTTGAAAAATAAGTAGTTCAATGACTTTTAGATAAATGACAATTCTAACATTGAAAGGAAGAACAATCCAAAATTTTAAACAAACTAGGAAACAAATACTTTAGATAATGAAAACTAGGATGTCCTAGTCTTAGATGCCAAAGCATTATTTGTTCATGAGCATAAATTGAACTAATACTACTATTAAAGCCATGAGCTATTTTATTACTGGAAAAATTGTCATTGAAGTAGTAAAGACCATTGATCATCTTAGCACTGCCAATTGTCCTCCCCGAGTTCTGGTCCTGAAATTCACAATAAGAATAAAAAAAGATAACACGACAGTTAGAGTCTTAAGATAATTTGTTGACAGATAACAAATTGCAGGCCAATTTTGGAACATAAAGGACAGAATTCAGAATTATATTTTCTGAGATTTTTATTTGGCCTTTTTCCTACAATAGGGGAAAAACTACCATCGGCAATCCTAATTTTTTCATTCCCAGAACAAGGTGAATAAGTATCAAAAGGGTCAGAAAGAGACGTCATATGATCAGACGCCCCGGAGTCAATAATCCATGGTGCAAAGTCTAGGCTACAGGATAAAGCATTAGGATTTTTACCTGTTTGAGCAAAAGAACCACTAGGAGTACCTAGTGAAGAATTGGAGTTTAGCAATTTGAGAAGATGATCTATTTGTTCCTTGGAGAAGGGACCTGTTTCAGCTTCGTTTACCGAAGGGAATGAACGATTAGATATGTCGCCCAGCTTGCTGCTTTTCCAGTTTACTGGCTTTCCATGGATTTTCTAGCAGGTTTCTCAGGTATGACGTGGCTTGTTACAGAAATCACACCACACCTGAGGCCTTCTCTGATTAGTGGCAAATACCTTATTCGCACTTGCATCAGATGCAACCAAGGCTAAGTTCTCGACAGGGGTAGCAGCTCCGTTTTCTACGAGTATGACATTTCTGTGGCTTTCTTCAAGTTTAACTTCAGTGAAGACTTCACCAATTGAGGGCAAAGGCTGTCGGCTAATTTTTCTCCCCCTAACTTTGTCGAATTCAACGTTTAGACCTGCAAAAAACTTGTAAATTCGATTATTATCCACCATCCTTTTGTTATGATCACAATCTTCTAGCGATTTCCACTCATAGTTATTGAACAGGTCCAAATCTTGCCATAGCCACCTCAAAGAATTGAAATACTTGGTGACGTTGTACTCTCCTTGTTGGATTTTACCAAGTTTTAGTGTCAACTCAAAGATTTGGGACTGATTTCCTAGATCAGAATACATCTGATTAACATTGTCCCAAAGTTCCTTGGCTGTCGGATAGCACATGTAATTGCAAATGATATCTTCTTCCATGGAATTTACAAGCCAAGTCATGACCATGGAATTTTCCACATCCCAAGTTGAATATGCCGAGTCTTCTTTTTTTAGTGCCTTCTTATCTCCTATTAGGTAACCAATCTTTCCCCGTCCACGGAGTATATCCGGATAGACTGAGACCAACATAAGAAGTTATCACCATTCAATCGAATATTGGTGATTTGGACTGAGTGTGAATCAAAGTTGAAAGCATAGGTTGTAAGAGTTTTTGATGGGGCAGTGGAAAAAGTGGAATCAAATGAAATTTCTGACATGGTGAAGGACAGCTGGAAGAATAAAAAAGGGTTTCTGTAAGAGTTAGAGATTAAATCCCTGCTTTGATACCATAAAAACGAGAAGAAAAAATATTGGGAGAGAAATATTTTCTTTGTATATTTCTCATCTTTCAAAGAATTATACAGAACCTATATTAATAGGTGAAACATAGCGTAAGAAAAGGAAACAAAAATAACTACTGATTCTAATTTAAAGTCAACTTTCCTATTTATACATAATTAACTATTTACAGCTAGAAAATCTCTAAGGATCCGGCAATATCTCAGAGCCAAATAACTACTTTTTTCAACAAAAATAAAATATGAAAATTATAAATCGTACCTCTTGTGCCTCTCTGCTCCGACCTAGTATACGAAAAAATAAAGTCCTGCTTCTATTTGGAAAGAAATCAAAATCTGAATATTTTGAGACAAAAGAAATGTTGCTTCTATTTGGAAACAAATCAAAGCATGCAAATTTTGGGAGAGAATAAGGTTGTTTGCTTCTTGCTTCTATTTGGAAAGAAATCAAAATTTGAAATGGGCAAATCGAAGCATGCAAATTTTGGGAGAGAATAAAGGCTGCTTACTGCTTCTATTTGGAAAGAAATCAAAATTTGAAATGGGTTGATTGATATTTTGGGAAAGAAGAAACTGACGGGATTTCATTTGATTTCAAATGGGTTGCTGAAAATAAGGGAGGGAAGAAGAAATAGTATTTGTGAATAGTGTATACATATATACAGCAATTGTGTATAAAACAAATACACATTTTTACCCATCTTAGTAACTACTATTCATTAACAGAAATGGAGGAAATGAACAACTGTTGGACTGGAGAGGATCCTGATCCAGATATTGATAACCCTTTTTTGTGTGAATTTTCTCAATTGTATTTGGAAAAAAATTAAAAACAGTGGAAAATTTTGGGAGTAAATGGTGCAAAGCTGGTGCACGCGAGTGAAAATAGTTAAACGGGGGCGGGGACGGGGTGAAAAGGCACCCCGTTTAAGTGATTTTGGGCGATGACGAGGCGGGGAAACTTAAACAATTGCAGGGTGGGAGAGGATGTACCCGCCCAAAACCGTCCCTGTTGCCATCCCTACATCTATGTGATAACATGATAAGGGTTTAATGTTTTGTTGCTATGAATATAAACAATGAGCAATGACACAAGTGATATATATATATATATATATATATATATATATATATATATATATATGCGCGCGTGTGTTTGTATAAATAGATAGAGAGGATAGAGAATGAATTTTTTTTTAAAAGAAAATATTAAATAGGGGCATTTCTGTGATTTAAATTTATAGATATTTTGTAGTAAATTGTATTTAAAAAATGGATAAAAGTAATCTGGGGTGTAAATGAAAGTTAAAAACAAAATGTCCATCTATTTGAGATTTGACCTAACTTGAAATGGTGTCGATATTATTTTTCATAAAATTAAACATTTCAAGATTATGTGTTCAACTCATTCCTCTCACACCACCTGCACTAAGGGGACAAACATCAAGAAATGAGATTTTTTAATGCAAAAACCGATGGTAGTTTCTTTCTCCTCCTTCAGTTTATAGTTAAGAAGCACGAACACTTTTATGAGTTGTTGTGCCCGTGTTCGACACCGACACTCCTAGATACGTGTCCTCCTTCATGGCCGTGTCCATTATTTTAAAAAATATATATTATTATTTCGGACACTTGACAGACACATCTTAAATACTTGATTGACACATCTCGAACACTTGATCAATACATTCTGGACACTAGACCAGAACACCCGACACTGTCTTATATAAAATAGATACATGACGGTCTTGAAAACAACATTATAAACATATCTTGAAGTTTTCACCTTTCAAAAACAAAAACATAACTATAATAACAAGATAAGATGGTAATATCATATATATAATATACTCTGTAACATATTCTTTTTTATATTCGAACAGCATCATCCTCTAACTTATGTATCTTTAATTAATTATATATTAAAGTTCTATGGTCGTATCGTATAAATAATTTATATTTATATTAACCATGTTTATGCCGTATTAGTGTCTTACTTTTTAGAATATAATTTATATTTATATTAACCATGTTTATGCCGTATTAGTGTCTTACTTTTTAGAATTTGACTTGCATGTCGTATTGTAATCGTATTCATACTTCATAGATTTACATCATCCCCATAAACACTAAGGACCACGGTGTAATTGTAGTTTTTGACTTCTTAAAAAATCCAAGAGGTTGAAGTCCCCATAAGAACAAAGTATATGAATGTGTTTTTCACCGAGATATGTTAAAAAAAAAAAAAAAAAAAAGACGTGTATCTCCCTTTTTTTTTTTTTTTTTTTTTTAACGTGTTAATCAACATTAAAAATATTATTCGCTAGTATTGATTAAACTTGCTTGCTGTGGTAATTCATATGCACCGTCAATTGGTAAAAACCATGTCATCATCATGGGTTAAACCATCCTAGTAGTGAAGGTTACACTAACACGGGTAACCTAGACAAATTTGTAAACCTGAGTAACAAATCACTTCCAGTCACTTCCAGCTTACTATCACGCTATGCTTCGAAACACTGATTTGGCGGTTTGGATTTGAAATTAGAAGAAATTTAATTTGTACTAAACTTCTTATAATCCCAAATTTAAAGCACCGATTCAATGATCCCAAACACAACATTAGTAATACCAACCAGAAGCCATGTTCTGGTGTTTCAGCTGCATTAGAAAGAGAGAATAAAATAAAATTTACTTCCAAGCAAGACTTTTAAGCAAGAGCATAAATCAGACTAGTAGCTGCTCGGCCATGAGCTCTTAAGCTAAAAAGTGTGTTGATACAAAATAGATTACTGATAATTCCACTAAATTCCATTCGTCAGCAAAACAGATTTAGGTTCTCAATTTTTGGAAAATAATTAGAATTACATACACAAACATTCGCTGTACCGACTCTGACAAGTCCTTCAGTGCAATAGAGGGAGTACCAACAGAAAACGAAAGATTATTATTTCATGACAAACATGATATACACACACATCAACATAATTCAAATGCCTTGGAAACTGATTTTCTCTGAAAAGCAACCCCACCTCTCAATTTTTGGAAAAAAAAAAAAAAGAATTACATACACAAGCATTCGCTGTAATGACACAATATGACATGTACATTCAGTGCAATACAGAGCGTACCAACAGAAAAACGAAAGATAATTATTTCATGACTAACATAAAATATATATATACATACACACACCCCAGCAGAATTCAAATACCTTGGAAACTGATTTTCTCTGAAAAGCAACCCCCCTTATAAATAAATAAAAAACGCGCGCGCGCACACACACATTTACACAGTAACACAATGACTTCGATAATTGAACAGCTAAAAGTGGAAGAATAATTATAAGGTATACCAGCTCCTCATCTTGCACCCTAACCTTTATTAACGCGCTTCCCAATCAGACGCATCCTGCATCAGTGGACAAAAATCATATTCAGACAGATCGTGAAACCTAGTGTGAAAGAAGCCTAGTAATTTTATTTTATTTATTTTTTATTATTACTTTTCCTTGAATGTGGTGTAGAGAAGAAGGGATGGATGAGACATGGTTAAAGGAAATCATAATGTCCTTCATTCTTGTTGCTTGGTTGGATGGAAGAGAAGGGAAGTAGATAACACCCTACTTTCTTTGTCAATAGAGAAGGGAGGAGAGAGATTGTTAATATTGGGTTTATCTAATATTTGTGAAGGATAATATTGTAATTTAAAATTTCAATAACAGTCCTTCATCTCTTCCATCCATATTTGGAGAGAAGAAAATTTGTAAAGTAGGAAAGATGACTCATCCATCCTCCTTTATCTTCTTTTCTTGTCTCCTCTCTACCAAACCAAAGAAATTTGTTTCTTCCTTCCTATCTCCCCTTCACCCCTCTTCCTTCCTTCCTACCACACAAACCATAAAGTACAAAGAGTGTAGCTTATGAAGCTAACACAAGAACAGAAATGCTTTAAAAAAGGAAAGGACAAAAGTCAAAGAAAATCTGAATGGAAAGACCAACAGAATGGAGACCCTCCATGCAAGTATCAATAGCAATCTGATCTGCACTTCTGCAATGAATCACGAACGTAAGAACCTAGAAAGTTAATTCTTTATAGCCCAAACACTTTTGAGTAATTCAATGTATGTGTTGGAATCCACATTTTATTTGCCCGTAATTCCGGGTCCCGTGATTAGTGGATCAAGATTAATTAGGGATTTTAATTTATTTAACTTTATTTTATTCCTTTAACTATAAAAACAAGTCCTGCACTCAATTAGAGGCAAACAATTACACAATTTATTTTTTCTCTTTTTGGTATCAGAGCCTTAGACAGACGCAGCCCTCTTTTCAAACCACTCGCCGGCACCACCCACCTCTCTCAACACCTTCACCCACTGCACTAGACCCCACCCCACCTACGCCCTCTTTCCTTAGCCTTCAGCGATTCCCCCCCTTGGGAGTCCAGCCTACCTGCGGCTCCCTTGGGAGTGTTCTCTCTTGGGTTCAAACCTCTCTTTCGGGGTATTTTTCAGCGAATAGATGTGATGTGGCTACCCTTCTTTGATGATTTCAAGCTATCGGTGTGTTCGGTAGCATCTCCGTGAGCTTTTGTTGTGTCTTCAGCAACTGGTTTGTTGGTGTTTGCAGCGATTTTCCTGTCCGAGAAACTTGTAAAGTTCTTTTAGTTTTTTTTTCTTTTGTCTTTTTTGATGGGTGATTCTAGGGGAAAAGATAAAGAGGTTGTTAGCATATATGATGGTCACAATTTATGGAATGACTTACCATATTAGTATAGATTTGCTTATGCATATGTTAGCATATATGATAGCCATGATTTATGGAATAACTTACCATATTAGCAGAGATTTGATTTAGATTTGATTTAGTTTTTTTTCTTGTAATATGAACATGTGCTTTTATTTTATCTATAACTAATAGAACTGTGACTGAGTGATATATATCATTCAAGCCTTTACATATTATAAATCTCATTCAAACCTTTTACATATTTCTCTTCTCTTTCTTCTTTATTGTATTTCTACTTGGTATCAGAGCCAGGATTGTCCGACTGCAATAAGGGCATTGCGAGTTCGGCATCACTCATTCGGGAATGGTCTAAGGTGACATCGCCCATCCAGGAGGTCTGTGTCGGGTAGGCAAGTTGGTCCAACCTCAATGAGGACGTTGCGAGTTTGGCACCACCCATTCAGAAATGGTCTGAGGAGACATAGTTGTTTCTTTTTATGATCTGAGGAGACATTGTTGATTCTTTCTTCTACATTGTTTAAACATATGTATAAAGGGGAATGGTTTGAGAAGGCACTGTTGATTCTTCCATCTACATGTTTTAAACCTGTGAAGGGGAATGGTCTGAGGAGACATACTGTTGTTTGTTTACGGTCTGAGGAGACATATTGTTGTTTGTTTGCGGTTTGAGGAGACATTATTAATTGTTTATGGTCTGAGGAGACATTTTTGGTTTATTGATCGACATTTTTAATCTAGTCAGATTTGCACAAAGCAACTTATAGATTCTGAAGAAGGGTGCTAGCAAGACCGTGTTTGAAGATGCGTTGTCCAAGTTGGGCATTTCAGATATCCACGCACCAACTTCAGGGGGAGTGTTAACATTTATGATAGCCACGATTAATAGAAGCCTGATGGTATTGTTGACCGTCTCAAAGCTCGACTTGTTGCTAAAGGCTACACTCAAACTTATGGCCTTGATTATACTGAGACGTTCTCTCCTGTGGCCAAACTGAATTCTGTTCGTGTGATAATCTCTCTTGTAGCTAATCTAGACTGGCCGCTTCATCAACTTGATGTTAAAAATGCCTTTCTACACGGTGACCTTACTGAGACAATCTATATGACTCAACCACCTGGGTTTGAGTCTAAGGGGGAGTGTGTGTGTCATCTCAAGAAGTCTATCTATGGCCTTAAACAGTCCCCTTGTGCATGGTTTGAGAAGTTCAGTAAAGCAGTGGTAGCTCATGGTATGATCAGAAGCTAGGCTGACCACTCTCTCTTTTTTAAGAATACGAAACGTGGAATTGTGATTCTTGTGGGTGACAAAGATGGGATACAAGTTCTAATCCATCACTTAAGTTCTAGCCTCTTTACTAAGGATTTGGGTAAACTTCAGTATTTTCTAGGAATTGAGGTGGCTCGGTGGAAGCAAGGCATTAGTCTTTCTCAGCGGAAGTATACTCTTGATCTCTTACAGGATACTGAATATCTTGGTTCAAAACCTGTAGCTACACCCATGGAGACTAATGTAAAACTTAAGGTGGATGATGGTGACCCACTCGATGATCCAGAGATGTATCGGAGACTTGTAGGTAAACTTATTTACCTCACAATCACTCGTTGAGACATCTCCTATGCAGTCAGTGTTGTGAGCCAGTTCATGACCAGTCCTCGGGTACCTCACATGGAGGCAGTTGTACACACCTTGAAGTATCTCAAGGGTGTTCCGGGACATGGTCTGCTTCACATCTTCGGATTGAGGGATACACAGATGCATATTGAGTCGGTTCTCCTTCTGATCGACAGTCCACTTAGGGTTCTCTCTCTTTCAACAAGAAGCAATCTGTAAATCATCTAAATTGGAATGGAATTCCTAATTATAAGCTATCTTACAACTCATCAAATCATCTAATTTTGGTATGCAGATCACCTCCTCTGATAACCCCTTCCCCTCCCCCCCCCCCCCCCTCCCCCAACCCAAAAATAAATAAATAAATTGATGTTGGTGAATCCACAAGCATCAATTTGTCAACTAAGAACTGGTGACGAGTCTTAGTTAAGGCTTTAGTGAAAATATCTGTAGTTTGGAAATCTGTTGACACATGAGGCAAAGAAACGAGATGATTAACATAGGCTTCCCGAATATAGTGACAATCGACCTCTACGTGTTTAGTCTGTTCACGAAATACTGGATTTTCTGTAATCTGTATGGCACTTGTGTTATCATCAGCATGTAGAGAAGTAGGATTTAATTGAGGGAAACCTAATTCATATAGAAGACGATGAAGCCAAACGATTTCAGAATAGGTAGAAGACATGGCTCAATATTCTACCTCGGTAGAAGATTTTGAAACTCGTTCTTGTTTTTTGCATTTCCATGACATAAGGGAGCCATTGAGATACATGCACCACCCCGTTGTAGATCAACGAGAATCAGGACAACTTGCCCGGTCAGCATCACTATAAGCTATAAGTTGGAGAGATGAACCAGCTTTATAAAATAACCCACACTCTGGAATGCCGAGTAAATAGCGAATGATCCGTTTGACAGCTGCAAGATGAAGGTGTCGAGGTTGATGCATAAACTGACACAACAAATTAACTGCATAAAAAATATCTGGTCTATATGTCGTAGGATCAGAGAGTAGTTGGCCTTCATCTTTTTTATACTTGACATTAATTTCAAGTGGAGTGTCTAATAGAGTTGACTGCTCGAGTCCAGCCAAGGCAATAAGATCTTTGGCATATTTGGTCGTCTCATTTACTTGACGAATACTACGCCAAATTTGACTTTTGCAATTAGTGTTGTAAGTCAGTTTATGCATGCTATGCGTTCGTCACATTTGGATGTAGTCTACTATATCTTGAGATATCTCAAGACGTGTCCTGGTCTTGGCTTATTTTATGCATCGGGTGGTCAATCTGGAGTGTCATGTTTTACAAATGCAGATTATGCAGGATCCAAAACATACAAGCGTTCTATTTCTGGATTATGTACTTTCTATGGCTGTCATCTTATATCATGGAAAAGTAAGAAGCAAGCAGTAGTGTCTAGGTCATTCACTGAGGCTGAATATCGTACTATGGCACATGACACGTGTGAACTTATATGGCTTCGATCTCTTGTTACTGAGTTGGGATCCGTTGTGGAAGATTCTTCTAAATTGTTTTGTGATAATAAGTCTGCTATCATGCTTGCTTCTGATTCTGTTCTCCATGAGAGGTCCAAACACATTGAAGTTAATATTCACTTCATTTGAGAGAGAGTTCGTTGTGGTGCTATTGTTCCAGTGTTTGTTCGTTTGTCTGATTGAACGGACAATGTGTTTGCTAAGTCAATGGGGCCATCTCTACTTCAGTCCTCAATTGGCAAGCTGGGTTTGATTGACATCTTCGCTCCAGCTTGAGGGGTAGTGTTGGAATCCACGTTTTATTTTGTCCCCGTGATTCCGGGTCCCATGATTAGTGGATCACAGTTAATTAGGGATTTTAATTTATTTAACTTTATTTTATTCTTTTATTGTAACCCTAGTTGGTAAATATAAATACAAGTGTTCTCAATTAGAGGCAAGCAATTACACAATTTATTTTTTCTCTTTTGTATGCAATCAGGAATTGTGTAGAGAACTTTTACTTCTGTATCATTGTTGTGAATTTCTAGAGCAGTTTAATATCAAAACTGAGAGTTACTCTGCACTTGTCCTCTACTATCACTACATTCTTATGATCTTGATCACACTTAAATTATAAAAGGGGTCATTACTCAATGTGGTCCTCGGATTTAAAGGCGCATGGAGGGGCGGACTGGATAGTGGATACAGACCTAACGTTTGACATTATTTCCACTCTCAGGATTCGAATCCACATTCTCATGTTTACAGCCTGCATTTTTTATCAGTGCACCAAGTTGCTAATAGAGGCTACTTGTCAGGGATTAAAATCCTCTCAGGCGCAGCAGTACATCTGTCCCAACCGGTGAGGAGAAAGTTGGGATGCACCTTAGGAAAAAGTTGGGATGCAAGGCCAAACGTCACAACATTTTCCTAAGGTGAGGAGAAAGTTGGGATGAAAGAATGAATGAATGAAAGAAAAGACCTTGTTATTCTTGCAGTTTAAATACATGCATAGACCACTCACCTCTCCTAATCTTAAATGGCTCACTCCACCATCAATTCCCATATCTGCTACAATTTCCTCCTCTTCCATTTCTGCATCAGTGAACGTGAGGGCGCGTTGGAGCTTCCTAGAACAGAACACCTCAACCTCTACAATATATGAAGCAGTCACAGGTCGATGATCAGAAAACCTTAGCTCCGTTCTTCTATAACCCAGTAGCCTCATTCCCTTCCCAAATGAAAGAATGCGGTCACACCTAAAAGAATATGCATCAAAGAAAGTTTAAGGAACCTACTGATTATCAAAACATAACAGAAAAAATCAAATCACCATAGACACGAAATGGAAAATGGAGCACTTAGTGACGAAGCGGAATGTATGAAACGTTCACAAAGGAACAAGAAACAACTTTGAATCCACAAAGTTAAAGGAAAATTGCAAAGCAATCTTAAATATTATTAATCAAAGTTTTAATTCTACTCTTGCAATACATTAATATTTATACCTAATATTGTAAGAAAACCTAGAAGCAAAAAGGAAACTAAAAAACAAAAGAAACCTCTAAAAAAAGCCCAAAAATAAATTCTCTAAAAATTCTGAAAAAAATAAAATAAGAAACCTAATCACTAAAAACTACTGAATATAAAAATTTAGAACAATCCAACTTCGTTTCGACCTCTAACAAAAATCTGAAAATATTCTGCAGTCTCCCTAACAGACTCAAAAACATGATTTCGGAGTCCTAAACGAAGGTTTTCAGCCGGAAAACAACAGGGCCCATCAATGGTCGTTTCCACCCAAAACATTCCTTAGTGGTCGAAACGGACTTATCGAACTGATGAAAATTCTGTCGTGCATCATTAGGATTAAATAGATCTGGATTTTCCTAATCTTAATTTGTTATATTTTACGTCTGGTGTTGGCCAACCATGTTAACATTTTCTCTTTGTATTTCTTTAAGACACAAACCTTTTTACAAGTACATTCCCTAGTGTCTCTCTATCTTTCTATATATATATATATATAGTTACAAATAATAGAGAGAGAGAGAGTAATAGGATCTGAATAAACATAAAACATTTTATTTGACACCCAACATTTTGTGAATCCATATTTATAAGTATAATAAATATCTATGTTTAAATTTGAAAAAAAAACTAGATAATAGAGATAAGAGATACTGCCTTAAATTTCAAATTTTAAAAAGAATCCTCAAGTAATTTGAACTATCAGATATATCTCTCCCTAAAAAAAATTTCAAGGAAACAGCGTACTCAAGAATTTAAGGAAATTTGATCTTGCCTTGTCTTGTTATATATGATTGCAACTTGGCTATTAAGACTTTTAAATTAATGATAATACCTGCTTTAATATGATTTTTGGTTTATGGGAATGCAGTCCTAAAGCTGTTCATAAAATTAAACTATAATTGCATGTAAATATTGATATATATATATATACATATACATATACATATATAAACACATGCACGGCATGAGAGCACTTTCAGTATATTATTCATCTATATACAATTCAAGACTAGTGATTGAATGAATGCTGAACAGTAGATATGTACAAGTGGCATACATTACTGGTCAAATTCACATATTGTCAATATGAGAACTGAAAATGGTGATTGGATCTGTGTAATATATCATTCAGAGAATATTATACTCATATACATTCAATAATAAGAACTGTTGTAGAGATTTGATCCATGAGTTATATATCACTCACAGAATAACATATACATATATATATATATATATATATATATATATACATGTTTATATGCAAGGTTAAAGAAATCATAGGGTTGTGTAGATTCATGTACTGGTGTAGAATGGTTGAAAATCTTTGAATCTAATGATTATGGATGGATTCACGCCAGATCTCATTATGGGTATTGACCGAAACTTGTATATATACAGATATAGGTTTGTAACTGGTGAGCATTTGTAAAGGTAGAAACATGAATATGAGGCATAAATTGACATTAAAAATGAAATTATAACTATGTTCTATGATTTACTTATGAAACCCTAAGATTTTGGGGTTGAATAAGGTCGGATTGGTGGTCATCCATGGCTGAAACAGTAAGCTAGGTTTGCTGGTGCATTCTGGGCATAAAACTGGGGAAGAAGATGGGTCTCCTAATTTTCAATGAAGCCCACTCGCAGGGTTGGCGTGTGGTAGAGAGTGTGGGCCACCTCGATGCCATTTTGGGTCCGGATTTGGCCTATTTGGGTCCACTTTCCAAGCCTAACATTTTGGTCCCACCCTCAGGTCCATTCGATAGTATAGAGTTGCGCAAGGTCAATCTTCTAGACCTAGAGAGGGGTGAATAAGACTTGCTTAAGACTTGAACAAACTTTAACTACTTTTTGAATCTTAACTAAAACTATTAGAATGTTAAATTCAAAATAAATTTGTTAATTAAATCTTATTCAATCCATCATGCTAATTATCATACCAATCAAACAATAATAGACTGATGGAGTATAAAGTATGAAACAAGCCACCAATGCTCAGGCTTTGTGGATTAAACAAAATTCTTCCACCGCTTGGCTAATGCTCACAGAAGAGGCAATCACATTGGGAGAATGCACTTTGATGGCATTTTGGTTACTAGGGAAGAGGACATTCGGAATGGGCTTGTGTTGTTCTATGAACAACTTTTCACAGAGAATGCTACTTGGAGACCTTCGTTGGATGGGCTCGGGTTTGGGGGAATTTCAGAGGCTGATAAAGATTGGATTGAGAGGCCATTTGGGGAGGAGGAGGTGTTGGAGGCCTTGAGGAGTTGTGATGGGGATAAAGCACTAGGGCCAGATAGATTCACTCTTGCTTTTTATCAGCAGAACTGGGAAGTGGTGAAGATAGAAGTGATGGCAGCCATTCATTCTTTCTATTCTGATGGGATGTTCGAGAAGAGCCTTAATGCGTCTTTTATTACCCTTATTCCCAAAAAGGGAGGTGCTATGGAGGCTAAGGATTTCAGACCAATCAGTCTTGTGGTTGCAGTCTATAAGATCATCGCAAAAGTGTTACCAATCTGCTTGAGGAGAGTACTGGATGGGGTGATCTGAGTCACAGAATGCATTTGTTGGAAGTAGACAGATTCTAGATTCAGTCTTGATTGCTTGCAAGTGCATTGAGGCAAGGGCCAGAAGCGGTGTTCCAGAGATAGTATGCAAGTTGGATGTTGAAAAGGCCTACGATCATGCTAGCTTGGAGTTTTTGATGTATTTGTTGCGAAGGATGGGGTTTGGGCACAGATGGCGGAAATGGATTTATCACTACATTTCATCAGCTCGGTTTTCAATCTTAGTGAACAGCTCCCCTGCAGGCTTTTTTGCTAGTTCTCGTGGTCTACGCCAGGGAGATCCTCTCTCCCCATTCTTGTTCATCATTGTTATGGAGGCATTTAGTAGAAGGGTGGAAGAGCTTGGATTTATCCAAGGATTCTCAGTGCGTAGACCTCCCAACCAGTTGACAATCTCTCACTTGTTTTTCGCAGATGACACAATCGTTTTTTGTGATGCTAGAGCTGATTATTTGAGACACTTGAGATGTGTGTTGGCCTGTTTTCAAGTGGTTTATAGGTTAAAGATCAATATTGGGAAGAGTGAGATAGTCCCAGTAGGGAGGGTTGAGGAGATTCAGGAGTTTGCAGACATCATGGGATGCGGTGTTGGTTCTTTTCCGAATTTGAATTTGGGGCTTCCCTTGGGGGTGTCATCGAGAAGATTATCAATTTGGGAGCCGGTGGTAGAAAGATTTGAGAGGAGGCTTGCGGGGTGGAAAAAGCAATACTTGTCGAAAGGGGGGAGGCAAACGCTTATGAAAAGCACTCTTTTGAATTTGCCTACATAATTTATGTCCCTATTTCTGATGCCTAAGACAGTGGTTCAAAAACTTGATGCGATTCAGAGAAATTTTTTATGGGGAGGCATAGGAGATGAGTTCAAATACCAAGTCAATTGGGAGAGAGTTTGTACTTCTATTTTGAAGGGAGGCTTGGGGATCCATAAGCTGGATGTGTTCAACAAAGCTTTGTTAGGCAAATGATTATGGAGATTTGGGGGCGAGAGGGAAAGAGTATGGAGGCGAGTTATCTCCTGTCGCTACGGGAAAGGAAATGGAGGGTGGTTTTCTAGGGAAGCGAGAGTCCCAACAGGTAGTCTTGGAAACTCATTCGAAAGGGGTGGGATGAGTTCTCCAAACGTATCAGGTTCAAATTCCGAAACAGAAGACACGTCAGATTTTGGGACAACCAATGGTGCAGGGATTTTGCTTTGGCTTCTTGATTTCCTCGCCTTTTCGGGATTTCTGTGAATAAGCATGTTGTAGTTGATGGAAGGGTTACATGGGATGTGCAATTTCGTAGAGAGTTTCAAGATTTGGGGGATTATGGAGGTCAATGATTTCCTTGCATTGTTGTATTACCAGGTGGTGGAGGGTGTGGGAATGGATGAGATGGTGTGGAAGGCTTCCTGAAAAAGGGTGTTTGAGGTTAGATCTTTTTACCAGAATCTGATGGAGACTCCCAGCCAACCGTTTCCTTGGAGAGCTGTTCAGAGGACGAAAGCCTACGCCTCTCCTCTCCCTCTTTCACCGCCTTATTTCCTCTCTCTCTCTCTCTCTCTCTCTCTCTCTCTCTCTATATATATATATATATATATATCGTCACAGCCCCTTCCCTCTTTCTTTCTTTTCATCGCAGACTCTCTCTCTTCTTCAAGCCGCTGCTGCGACAGTCCTAGGGGGAGCCAATCTCCACTAGGTTCGACCCTGTAGGGGTATTCCCTTAGGGCTAGTTTGGTGTGCAAGAATTAAATGGAATGGAATGGAAATGAAGCTAGGAATGGAATGGGAATGGAATAAAATGGGACTGATGATTCCCATTCTCCTGCTTGGTTGCAAACATGGAATGTGTAAAAATGAAATGATGATTTCCATTCACTTGTTTGGTTGGGCTAATGTAAAAATTGGAATAGAATGAATTTATATTGTTTTCTCCAAATTACCCTTTATCATTAATAAAAAAAATTCAACTAAAAAATTAACATCCTAAAGAAATTTTTTCCAATCCAGTGGTAGGAAAGAGGTCTGTAGAGTGAGAGAAAGTAGAAAGAAGAAAGAAACTGGGCAAGTGAACAGAGGTGTTGGAGATTGGGGCGAGAAAAGGCAATGGGGAGAAGGAAGCGATCGAACAAAGGAGAGGATGGATCCGATTTGATCGGCGACGACGAACGGCGGTGATCCAAGCTCCGTTTTAAATTTCGTCGGTGAAGTTGCAATGTTCGGCGGTGAATCGGTGGGTTGTGGACGGAATAGGCGAGCAATGGTGAGACTGACGGCGATCAAGGACGACGGCGGTGCTGCACTTACCGGCGAGGTGGGTCTGAATTGAGCTTTTGAATCATCAGCATGGACGAACGGCAAGATGGCGGTGAACTGATGGTGAGCATGAGAGGATGGACTAGTGAGACAATGGGTTGGGTTGGGTTGGGTTGTGCTGTGTTGTGTCCTTGTATGTTCCACCGTCGAGAGAGGAGATGATTATGGCGGTGGGGGAAGAAGGCTGGATTATGGAGAGGAGTAAAACAGATCTGGTATGAAGGGGGTAGATTGGAAGAGAACAAAGACGTGATGGGAAGAGATGATGAACAGTTTCTTGGTCATAATTTTTTTAATATTATTCCATGTGGGAATGGAATCCTCATTCCATTGTTAAAGAGAGGGAATGAAATAGTGGGAATGGTCATTCCCAGAGAATAAAGCATTGATTCTCATCCAACTTCAATTTAACCTACCAATACTAATAAAAAAAAAAAAAAATTAACCTTGGGAATGGAATAAAAAGCATTCCCATTCCCTCTTAATTGATTCCATTCAGCCGCACCAAACTAGCCCTTATCAGAAGACGTGTTTGCAATTTTTTGGGGCTGCCGGAATATTCGGCAACTTTTTCAGATCGGACCGCCGTGTCTCTGGCTTCTTGGTTTGATCAAAATCAGATTTATTCCTCCTTTATTTGAAATTATTTGTTATCTGAGTTGTTCTATTTACTATTATGACTTATTCAAGTAATAATAAAGAACCTCTCTCCAGCGCAACACACACAGATTAAACGAGTTACTAGTGTGCTGTTGAATGGCCATAATTTTACATCCTGGTCTCGTTCCCTCCGCCATTATGTTGGTGGAAAAGGCAAATCAGGGTGGCTTTTGGGTACTGGAAAGATGCCAGATATTAAAGATCCAAAATATGCTTAGTGGGATATGGACAATTGCACCATTTTAGGATGGATGTTTAATTCTAAGGAGGAACGAATTTATAATATATTTATGTTTTGTGACTCTGTTCATGACTTGTGGACCGCTTTAAATCAAATGTATGCTCATTCTAGGAATGATGCTCGTATTTTTTAATTACACCAGGATATTGCTAAGGCCTCGCAGGAAGGCCTGAATTTGTCTGTAGTTGATTACTTTAAGTATTTGAGATCTCGTTGGGAGGAACTGGCTCAATATGAGAGTGAATTTCCTCCCAAGGCAGCCTCTCTTCTTGTCAAACGTCTTGACCGCCAGCATACTTATCAGTTTTTTATGGCATTACACCCAGAATTTGAACCACTTAAAGTCTCAGAATTTGGACCTCGATCAATATCGAGGTATACTGCATAATTGAGACGAGAGCTTAAAAAAGGTCGAGCATTTTGATGGATGGATCAAATTCTAAATCAAATCATGGAATCTAAAAACCCTATGGCACAAAATGTATGAACCTTAAATTTGGTGAGTGCAAAAAAATGTCAATTTATTTTTATACATTTGGTGTAGAAGATTACGCACTAGTCCCCAAGTGTAGCTTGAATTCCATCTTCAACCATGACCAAGCAAAATGTTAATTTTAAAAATATTATAACTAAAATAAAAATAAGAAGAAAAAAGTTTTGACTCTAGTTTTGATTCATGAAACAACCACATGAAGAAATTATTCAAATAACAGATTAGTGCAAATAGAATGATTAACACAGAAAAACTAGCATGCATAATAAGGTGTGGGTGTAAAAGACAAGGAAACAACAAAAGGGACATGCCAATATTACTGCAAAACAGATAAACAACTAATGAAAAAAAACAAGAACAAAGGAAAAACAAAACTAAGATACATGGATATAATTTGCCATGAGGGAATGAGGGATCATTCAAACAGAAAACAAAAACCAGCCACAAACAGAAGAAAAAAAAAAAAAAAAATGCTTCTATGTAGAGACAATCAAAAGAACTTATTATGAGCCGATATAGATAAACCTGTGGAGAGTTTGTAGATGCATACCATGCCGGAGTTCGCCTCCCAGCCTTTGGATCCTCGCCATAGTACTTCTCTGAATTTAACTCATATTTATAAGTTGGTAGAAAATCTAAAGTACCTTCACACCATCCATCAAATGACCGACCTTTTTTAAGCTCTCGTATAAGCTGCCAGTACAGGAATGTCAACATATTTAGCAACCAAACTTCAAGTAAACGTCATTTCAAATACCATTTAATTCAGAAACCAACTATATGTAAGTCAAAGTTGGAACAGAATCATCGGATTTCATCAATCCAGGAGAAGTTATTCTTTTAATACTTATCAAAAAAAAAAAAAACAAACTTAATCTTCTAATAATTAATATTTAATAAGTAAACAATTCTAATAATTTATCATTTTTGAGAACGCGTTCTGAGGTCCATGGTGAATAATTTATAAATCTAACAGCTAAAAAGTAATAATTTTTTGGAGAAAAAGTAATGATATTATTACTTATTAGAATGGAAATGTATACAGAAATTCACCCACTCATATAGAAGAAAATTTAATGAATGTGCTAACTTATCTTACATCTTGGCCAACGAAATTTGCCATTATCAAATATAAGTGATTTGAACATCTCACTGACTTTTAAAACCATAATTTAATTTAAAATTTTAGAAGTTTTCCTTTGGCTTAGAGTAGAATCAGTAGAAATAAAAATGCGCATTATCACAGAAAATGTTGAAAATATTGTAAGAAAAATATTCAGTGCTTACTTTGCATGTGTATGAGAGTTGAATATTCTTAACTTGTCGCATTTAGGATTCAATTAGTTATTCTAATCATTAATAAATTGGAGTTCCTGATGCAGCAGTGATTTTATGAAGAGTTGGGAGCACCCAAAGAAGGCTAGGAATGCAAAGAAGGCCAAACGGAATCCCTAATTTTCTGCTGTCAACTTTCTGATTTTGAAAACTTTCCATGTTCTGAATTTTGGAAACTTTCCATGCTCTAATTTTTAGAACTTTCCATTTTCTAATTTTTGGAAACTTTCTATGTTCTAATTTTTGGAACTTTCCTGATTTACATAAGTTTTTTATTTTCAGTGACTTTCCTTTATTGTAATGAAGCCAATATGGCTAGGGTTGTTAGGAGACTCCATATAAAGGGAGACTTCATATTTCTCTGCAATTTCTCTTAACTTTGTGGCTTCAAAGTTGGTTTATTGTTCATTCATGAACTTTCTTAGCTTCCGCTCAGTTGGTATCAGAGCACAAGTTCCGGCTATCTGCTCAATCATACCTCCACGACAACAATCGAGAGGAAATGTGGTAGGATGCAAGGTCTAGTCAAGCCCTTACCCAGCAAGTCCAAAATTAAGTCAAGAATCAATGGAGACATGTTGAGATGTTGAACCAGCAATTAGCTCAACATGTTATCAAGCCGCCGCTTAACAACGGTTGTAGCCCTTAGTGGCTCTTTGTCCATCGATGTAGGCCTTAGTGCGGAACCATGTATATGCTTGTGTTCTCCATCTTTCTCTGTTCCCTTTTCCGATTTGCATTTCTTATTTCCGCATCTAAAATTTAACATGATATCAAAGCCTAAATATTCTTGTAATCCCATCTAGAATTTGAGGGGGAGCATTGGAATTATTATCATGGAGCATATTCTCTATTTTTTCACATTCCTTTCCCAGCGTAGTTCAGGCTTTTCCCGGCATTGTTCCGGCTTTTCCCGGCATTGTTCTAGTCATTTTCTGACTTATTTCCTATCATTTCCCGGCGTTGTTCCGGCCATTTTTACGGTTTAGTTCCGATCATTTCCCCGCGTTATTCCGGCCATTTTCCCGGCTTAGTTCCGGTCATTTTCCCCGACGTAGTTCCAGCCATTTTCCCCGGTGAGTTCCAATTTATTTTCTCCAGCAAGATCTGGTCAATTTCCTGGCTTTGTTCCGGACACCTTCTCATCATCTTTCGAGGCGTTTCTTTGGCAAGTTGGGCATTCATGATATTCATGCTCCAACTTGAGGGGGAGTGTTGAAATATATAAGGGTTAATTTCACTGACACCCCCTCAGATTTGGCCAAATATCACATTAAAACAACTTTCGAAATTTACTATCACTTAGGTCCGATTTTACTTTTCCGTCATTCACACCGTTAAAAATGTGTGAAAAGACAAATTTACCCTCATTTTTTTTAATTCATTTTAATACAAAATATCAGCAAACATAAAATGACAAAATTGCCCCATTAATTTCTCTTTCTAATATATATGCCGCCAAGAGGGCGAATTGCCGGAGGTGACTGGAGACGAGGTGGTCGCTTGTGATTGTGTGGGTGGAGATGGTGGCGGCAGTGGTGGAGCAGCAGGCGGTCGTGGGGTGAGGCAGTGGTGGCGGTTATGGGATGTGGATGGTGTTGCCGCCGCCGTCGTGGTGCTGCCAGCGAGACCTAAAGTTCTAGTAACGATTATAGCTTAAGCAGATTTTGACGATGACAGATTTCGGTGAGATCAACGGCTGTAATTGTTGGCTATGAGGGTTTGGATAATTGGATGTTTACAACTCTTAGGTCCGATTTGCAATTGAGTGTTTATCAGAATTTGATTAATTAAAGTATGGAATTTGCTTAATTAAAGTATGATTTTCAAAATGGAAATTTCCATGCATCATGTCTGATTGCCCATTCTAACTTCGTGATTTTGTTCCTTTATATAGTATATAGTGTATATATATATATATCTATACATATTATATAAATATAAATACAAGTAAGATATATTTTTTTTTTCATTAAATATAAATAAGATAAATCACTTATGTTCAAACTTTTTCAGGTCCCTTTGCTTTGGGAGTTTTAATAAGGGTATCCGTAATTGCCTCAAGTATATATACACAAACACACATATATATATAATTGTAAATTTGTAAATAGTTTAGTCTTTTAATATAAATTTTTAGGTTACGAGAGTCTTTTAACAAATAAATTTGTAAATAGTTTAGTCTTTTAATATAAATTTTTAGGTTACGAGAGTCTTTTAACAAAGTCAAAGGGTATTTAAGTCGTTTTATATGGTGTCAGGTAACAGTTGGGGTGTGAGTGAAAGACGAAACAAATGTTTGCAATATTAGTGATAGTAATTTTCGAAAGTTGTTTAAATGTGATATTTTGCCAAACGTGGGGGGGTGTTAGTGAAACTAACCCAATATATAAATATTTCTATATAATTGTGGAGCAAAATCCTCCACCAATCACAGTGATCTGGGCAATTTTTTTCCAACGATAAATATTTCTATATAACGGTGAAGCAAAATCCTCCACCAATCACGGTGCCTCCTTTGACTAGTGCACCTTCCATATATTCTTATTTTTACCATGCATGTATATAGGCTTTTTGTACTCAAGCAATAAATATATATCTGAATAATAAAAATGTAGCCCTTAATGGCTCTTTGTCCATGGATGTAGGCCTTAGTGCCGAACCATGTATATGCTTGTGTTCTCCATCTTTCTCTCTTCCCTTTTCCTATTTGCATTTCTTATTTCCGCATCCAAAATTTAACAACGGCCAACCAGTTGATGAGAACTTTCCAATAGAGGATGCCCAGTCCAGCATAAGAACTTTCGCAAAAACTCCATCTATGTTCCGCGTCGCCGTAGTTCACCCGACGAGCGGACCGACCGCCACTGGGAGGCGAATATCAAAATTGAGAATTTTGAATTTCACTGAAGTCTTAAGGCTGATGAGTTTATTGATTGGATAAATATTGTTGAACATATTTTTGAATAGTATGAGATACCTGTTCACAAGAAGGTCAAGCTCATAGCTAATCCCTTGAAAGGAAGGGCCTCGGCAAGGTGGGAGCAACTACGGATTACCCGTGAGCGTAGAAGTACGCCAAAGATGGTAGAATGGGAGAGTATGAAGAAAAAGATTTTAATTATGCCCAAACGATGTACCAATGTTTGCATGATATAAAGCAAGCAAGCCATAGTGTGGAAGATTACAATGAATAATTTATCAGTTGATGGCACGCAATGACCAATCGAAGAGTGAAGAGTAGATGGTGGCACGCTATATTAGCAGACTAAGGCCCAACATACAAGAAGCTCTACTCTTGCATTCATTTTGGTCTGTTTCAGAGGCTTATCAACGAGCATTGGTGGTGGAGAAACAAGAAAACAAGCAGGTTTCATGCTCCAGCAGCAGTTCCACAAGGTTGTAGTCCACTTTTAAGGGTGAATAAGCCTCTACAACAGTGAGAAAACAGGGCCAAAATGTGGGACAGCAACTGCCACTTGTTGTGGAGTTAGAGAGCAGGCTGCCACTGTCGGAAACCGGAAAGATTATGAAAGGACAGTGGCTAAAATCAAGGTGGAAACCTTGGTCTGAGATGTTACAAGTGTAGAGAGCCAGGGCATAGATCGGTGGAGGCAGAAAACATTTTAATGGAGGAAAACAACTTTTGATCGAGGAAGATGATGCAACCCTGGAAGTTGAGCCAAAATTTGATGATTCCCAGAGGAAGAGGATGATGATATCTTATATGGTGATGTAGGTGAATCCTTGGTCATGCGAAAGTCCCTTTTGCTTCCGAAACATGAGGATGAAGTTAAGGAATTCAACACGGCAAAAGAAGAGGATGATGACAAGAAATTTGCTAACGAAGGTGAGTAACATGGATTAGTTGATGATCGGGTCAATGAAACTTCCAAATTACATGTCCAAGACGGTATGGAAGAATTCAAGCATCAAGTTGGTGAAAGATCATTATGTGAGGAGATTGAGTGAAGAAGTTTTATTTCCGGAAAGTGCCAGTGAAGATATTTTGGTGTCATGTTCTAAAGGTTCTCATGACAATGTACTTTGGTTGGGATTGACTTTGGTGTAAAGCTTCTTACATCTCTTCCTAACTGTTTTAGGGATGATGTCATTCATCTCAAGGCTTGGATATGTGACGACCTATTTTACATGGACTCGGGTACGGGTGTCGGACACGGGTATGTATCCATGCGTCGGACGTGTCAAATCTCCAAATAGAAGGACACACGGACACGGCTAAATATTCATTTTATTAATTTTTTTTTTTTTTTTTCTAGAGTAAGGTAATGTTTTTATCTAATATAATGTTCAATATATGCACTTAACTCATTTTAAAGTAATAATATAATGTAATT